TGCTTGTCCTGAATAATATATCACTTCGTCATGAGGGCAACTGTAGACTTGATTCATCAGAACTCATATGACCCAGATACTCTTGTTCTGTGTGAATGGTTTGAAGTCAACGTGAAACTTGGTTAAAAAAAAAAAATTGTCATCGCTAAAATAACAAACATTACATTGTTCAGACCAGTGCAACAAAAACCATTAACAACCATTAAGAAATATGTGTAACTTTGTGAATGTGATGCTTCAAGGATGTTCCCTCTGAGTGAAACAGCTCTGAATAAAAATAAATGTATAACCTCATATCATAAACCATGGCAAAATCCATATATTTCACTATTGTGTGACAGCCAATTACTGTAACTATGTCACACACGCAAACATCTGGTCTATGCTCATCTACTAAGGTTGGGGCCTGTGTGCCGTTGAACGCCTTCGCAATTTCACACTCGAGAGGAAAAGACAACAGTTCAGAGCACCTAAAAAGCCCCTTTTGTGTTTCAGTGAGCCAGCGAGGAGACCCCACCCCACTGCCACGCTCCACAGAGACCAAAAACAGCGAAGCACGTTTATCTTTCCACACAATTACAATTTCACTGCGAAAGGTTCTGAGCTGTAACTCTAACACGTTGGAGCGCCTGCCGCCTGGCAGCTTTCAAAGAGAATAATGTTTGATTTCTTTCTTTTTTCCCACATTATCTTCCCTCTGTGTCTTGGGCTGCCGTTTCCTCATCTACACTTGGACAAGAAAAACTGCTTGTTTTTTTTAGATTGCGGCATTTAAGAACACATGACTGTTACTATGACTTTTTGTCACACAAGAGGTTTGACATAACTGCATTCCTCTCATATTTGTCCTGGGTATGTCGTTGGTGTTGCAATTGTTGCTCCTGAGGGAAGGTTGTGGATTTCTTTTTTTTTTTTAATTCAGCTATTGTTATATTGCTATTGATGAACCTATTGCGATAATTATTATATCTATTTTATCACCTGCCCCCTGCATTACCTATTTGAAACTTTCCGTTAGTTATTTATTTTTCGGGAAGTTTGAATATGACTCCAGAGTTTCCCATCAACATTCACATAAATATTAAACCAACTGGAGCCGGTAACGCCACTGAACCTGGGAAAGATCACTTGGATCAAAACAAATAATGACATACAACATTATTCGTCATCTGGCTCTTGTTTTTGTTTTTGTGTGAGACACTTGTGGGTGCTCACTGAATTGCCTGAGTCACAATCTCGATGTTTCTCATGATTTGTGGTCCCGTGGTTCTTTGTGTTACCTGCAGTGGCTTTGCGCCCACTCGAATCCACGTGCACCTTTACGGCCACACCTATGCCCAGCAGCCTCTTGGCAGCAGGTGTTTCTACACGGCATGCTGTCAAAGTTTGAATCACTTTCTGTTTGTAATGAGCTTTCAACCACATGCAGCTCCCAAAACCGTCAAAGAATAGCAGTTCTAATTTAGATTGATTAGATTAGATTGATTTCTTTATGTCTGAAGAGTTTTCTTTTCTCTTCCTCTTCTCCTAAGAGCTTGGGCTGGGTCTAAAACGGTTTCTGTGGCCTTGTGAAATCCATTGACACATTGTTGTGTGTTGTCTGGATGAACTTAAACATGACATGACTTGACTTGACTCACCTGTCTGGGAAAACAGGTGCAATAGTGCTATTGCTTATATGGTATCAGAATTTTTTTTGTTTCCTTTACTCTACTGCTCTCATATTTCTCTCATTAAATAATAATAGTGTGATTGCAATGTGGGGATTTTCAAGAAAGACAGGCCTGGGAAAAGCTATTCATTATCTACCACTACAATACAGACTGATTAATCAATACAGAACATTGATTCACTCTGTTATTATGTAAAATTGTAAGCCTGAAGATGATACATGGGTTTAGTGTTTTTACCAGGATAAGAACACACACATACACACACATAACAACCTAATGATCACCTTTTTGTGCTCAACTTAGTAAAAAAGTAAAAAACAACAAAGTTTTCAAACTAAAATGGGGTCAACAGTGTTTCTTAAAGACTCAAAAACTAAAAGGTATTGAGATATAGTGTGAATGTAGCCTATGATTCAATCATTGTTCAGCTGTAAGTCAGTCAGCTCACCTGTTCTGTAACTCCAGGTGTGTATGACTCACTGGATCTGATTCACATTCACACAGAGCCCATACTGACACGCCTCTTCTGATAACAACCTTCAAACTGAAATAGTCTTAAGCAGCACTGTGGTTTATTTACTGTAGTTTGAACTACCGTAACCAGTGTTACAATAATGACATCATGGCGAACTGAAATCATAGCATTCAGACCTCATGACACAGTACTCACGAGTTAATTATGTCTGTCTTGACTGTAATTACTCATCATTATTTGATTATCCCATAGTTTCCTATGATTTAAGAAAAGGGGAGCTGAAATACAAACGTAAATTTTCCAAGTAAAGTAAAGTTCCAAAAAATTACTTTGAAATCAGTTAAAGCTGGTTTCTGCTGGCAGATATACAGTTCATTGTATGCGAGTAGGAAAGTTTTGATGAATATTTAGTTTGGGTTAAATTAAGCTGTAATTTCAAGGAAAAGGAGTCTTGCAAGAAAAAGTGCTAGTGCAAAAAGTGATTTCAGTTGATTTAAGAAAAAGTTCCTGTAGGTAACTTAAACTCACTGTACTATGAATTACAAGATCTGTGTATCTAATATGAACTATTACAACTAGACTTTCTGGTTTTGTTATTTCTTAATGTGCTAATGATCTGTGCCACCATCAACTGTAAGATGCAAACAGGTCCCTCTGTTCACAGTTTCCAGTTGACTGTGCCGGCAGACAATCTCAGCAGCATTTAGCTGCATTGAGCTATGATGCCACATATTTACCTCAGGAGTTGACCCCATTTAGACACTGCTAAAGGTTACTGAGTATCTGTCAGTGTAATTGGTCCTTTGCGACTGCAGAGAGGCACACTACACCACTTTCATACGATTCAATTCCCAGTCTCCCAGTCTGACACACAGTTTAATCCGCTTCCCCTCTCGCTCTCTTCTCCACTCTCACTCTCTCCAACTCTCATTAAAGAACACTGCTCAGTCGTCTTTGCAGAAAGAGAAGACACTCTGCAGGTAGTTATTTAGGACACACTATTTAGGTGTTGTTTCAGAGGGGCCAATGGGTTATAGTGGTGCCCTCCACTATAACCACTGTTGCTACTGACTCTGTACTTCAGTTGTAAATAAAGAACAAACTAGAATGTCCCTCAGGAGAGAAAATCTTACTATCTGTCTGTAACATTGTCATTCATTGATATTCTGCACATTCGTTTGTGATTAACCCTTTTGATTTGGTGTTGTGATAAGCTATATAAGATAAGATATAAGATCAAATAGTCTGATCAAAGCAATTCCACACATGGACCTTCCAGCGATTCCCAGATTTTTTTATCTTTTTCTGTGTTCCTGCTCTTTCAGTCGTAGTTCACATTCTCTTTTTAGAGGGAATTGAAATTGTTGAATTGTTACACACCTGAGAAAACTGTAGCTCCCCTGACACAACTCGCAAAACAGCTTGTGAGCTTTGAGAGAAGTTTACAGTATGTTTTCTTGTCTTTCAAATATGACCTCCAACAGAAAGCTGAAGGGCCTTTTTAGCATATCAAAAATCTTCTGACAACATCCGCTTGGAGTATGTGTCTCTCAAAAAGTGAAATCTCCTCGTCAGCCGCACATACACTCACCAACACCTCACTGTGAAATGCAAAAGACTTTTGAATTTTTACCTTTGAGCTTCTGCCTGTTTATACTTCAAACACTTACGTTGTGAAAGCCAAACTGAAACCCAGACTAGGATGTCATGCTGCTCAAACAGACCCAGAGTAGATACTGTGGTGTAATGAGGTTGCAGAATGCTACTATAAGACCCCTCTTTTTTAAAAGGCTAAAATTACATTAAAAACCTCAACAGTAACGTGTCCATACTAAAATAACGCCCTGTTCTCTCTGGGTAATACACACCGGGGTAGAGGTAGTTTGTTGCAGTAAGGTCTGCGGGAAGGGAATCAATCGCCCCATTCTCTTTCACACCCTCACACACACATACTCACAGAAGAACGCACTGTCCAAGTCCTTATCTCCATGGTGATACAAAGTGTGGTCTGGAGGAAAGAGGTAGTGCACCATTATAGACAAACCAGAAGAAAAATACACAGCAAAGCAAACTGCACTCTCTCCTCAGCTATTTCATTCATGGCTGTGAAAGAAAATAACCCTCAATTCCTTTTTGACTCACTAAGAAAAAATGTTGATGTTGCACACACACTGTTGTTCTATATTTCATTAATACCCGGAGCTTTTTATGGTAAAATCAGCTCTCTCAAGGATAGACTCATTTAAATAGTTGGTTTTGTTTGCCTGAATCAAAAACATGAGATTACAGGTCTCATTGTTTTATATTTTACAGAAATACTGTAGTTTCCTGATGTTTACTTCATAATGTTGGGTATTGCATTAATGAAATGAAGATAAGATATGATGTTGAAATGCCTCTAATGTGATTTATCTCCCATTCTTTTCTGTCCACTTCTACTTTTTCTCTCTTTTCACTACTATTCTCAGACTGAATAGTCCACTTGAATGAGACTTCAGCTGTGAGAGCTCACCATCAAAACACTTTTCCCATCAAGCTCCATCTACCAAAAGGTACAGCTTCTTGAATATAGTCTTGTGATACTGATGCAAGAATTTAACATTCTATGCATGGTTTTCACTTTATTGCTCAGTATTTGCTTTGACAACTGATTTAAAATATTTTGTGGACTTTTGTTTATTCAGTATTCATATTTGCCTTTTCTTTGCTCTCTCTGCAGCACCAAATGTGTCTTTAAGACTCTCATCACTTCACTCAGTGGGCATTATGTTGACCCTGATCTAAAGCCATCAGCACCCCATCCCTACCTTTCCTTCCCATCTTCCCCCCCTGCACCCTCTCCCATCTCCATCATGACCAGTCTGAAGCGTTCTCAGACAGAGCGCTCGGTTGGGGGCTCAGTGCCAGCCACTGATGAGTTCTACACCCGCCGTCTGCGCCTGCCCAATGGAGGGGCGCCACCACCCCGTAGTGAGAGCGCCCACATTTCCTCTTCCTCCACCACTGGCACCAACCCCGGCGTCCCCAAGATGGGGGTTCGGGCTCGTGTGGCTGACTGGCCGCCAAGGAAAGATGGGGGAGGAGGGGGTGTTTGGCATATTACCGTGGAAACCGACTCCCCCAGCTCCACCAACACCACCAGTTCATCAGGATCTGGAAGTGGAGATAGAGAAAGACTTGTTGGAGGGGGAGGAGGAGGAGGGAGTGGAAGTGGTGGTAGTGGTAGTAGTGGCAGTGGAAGTGGAGGGGTGTCAGCTGTTACAGCCCACAGCAATCTGTCAGCGAAGCTCGGCCACCTAATAAGCCCACAGGACTCATCCATGCTGCGCAACATCCACAACACGCTCAAGAATAAGATGCAAAGCAAAGGAAAAGACAATCGCTTCCTTTCACCAGATGGCTATCTGGGCTCACCTCGCAAAGGCATGAGGCGCATCCGCCAACGCAGTAACAGTGATATAACTATTAGTGAGTTGGATGCGGACGGCAATGAGGGCTGGTCTTTCTCAGGGTGGACACCCATGCACCGTGAGTATGGCAGCACTTCATCCATAGATAAACACGGAGTGTCGGGAGAGAGTTTCTTTGACATGCTAAAGGGTTACCAGTCCTCTGAGGCCCCTGATCAGCGAAGCCCAGCTCCAGAGAGGCTAACAGAGCTCCTTACAGTGGCCCCCATAAAACAGGCTGCACTTGACCTGCCAGATGGACCTTTAGGTCCAGCCAGAGGTAGTCCTGCCAGTCGGCTGAAGGAACGAGAGAAGCACTTAAAAAGGAGGTCAAAGTCAGAGACGGGAGGAGAGTCTATATTTCGTAAGCTGCGCAGTGTGAAGGTGGAGGGTGACACATCAAGGGCTGGGTCTGATGCTGAAGATGGGGGGAAAGGAGATGAAAGTGGCCCACCTCCCAAACCCTGGGTGTGCCAGAGAGGCTTTGCCCATTTTGATATTCAGTCTCTACTCTTTGACCTCAATGAGGCAATCCAAAGTCGTCAGTCTGGGGCGAAACGGAAGAACACCACAACTGGTGCCTCTGCTGCTGCTGCTGCTTCTGCCTCCGCCACATCCTCCCTCTCCTCTAATCAGAGCGGAGTGTATGGGTCACCATGTGGCTCACAAGAGGAGCTGAGCAAGGAGGGAGCAGGAGGACACAATGCTAACCCCGCCTTAGACCCTGGTGATGACAAAAGCAATGATCTGGTGCTCAGCTGCCCCTGTTTCAGGAACGAGATTGGGGGAGAGGGTGAGAGGAACATCTCTCCTGCTAAACAGGTAAGTTTTGTGCAAGAACAGGATCATCTCAAAGAAATATGCAGCTATTTGTTTTGACTCCTGAAAAAATCTCTTTGAGGCTCTTACTTTTAATCTTCAGACTGCAGCCAGCACAGTCACTTTCTGTCTTGGCATTTTGAAAGATTAGAGATAATTTCAAAGATTTCTGTGTTTAGGAGATGCACTGAAAATGAGATGTCTCTAGATAAAATGTTTGTCAGCTTACTTGCCTCACTTTACTTTATTTTTCATCCTTCAGCAGGGCAGCATAGGCAGCGGTGGAAGTTCAAGCAGTTCTTCTGGCAGTACAGAGGAAGGACCGCTGGATGCCATCCTCAGTACTCATTTTACCAACGCTGGTGTGGCAGTATTAGAGGCTCCCAAGGACGGGCCAAGTCAGCATGCTGACAGGTCCAAACGATACATCGTAGAGCATGTTGACCTCGGTGCCTATTGCTACCGGAAGTACTTCTACCTCAGAGGTAAGGACAACAGAGCAGTTTGGGCTATTTTGATTTTTCAGCAACAGAATTGAGTGTCTCAAAAGCCACGCGTTAATTATCTCTTCTTTTAACGTCAATCCTTTTTATGTATTCCTATGTCAAATTCCTCCCTTCTAACCCCCAGAACACTGGAACTATCTGGGGGTAGACGAGAACCTGGGTCCGGTGGCAGTCAGTCTGAGGAGGGAGAAGCTGGACGAACACAAGGAGCACGGCCAACAGTACAACTACAGGGTTATCTTCAGAATGAGCGAGGTGCACGAGATCCTCTGACATTTGTGTTTTATCAGCTTGATTTGTTTATTGTTGTTGTTTCATTTCACCAGGATGTAACGTGTTTATAGCTTTTCCCTGTGCAGCCTCCGATGTTCACAAATGTTATAGTGCATTCTGTACAGAGCGATGTTACCAAGCAGCTATTATGAGTTCCTATTGTGTAGGAGTGACGATATAGAATCCGTGCCTGAGCTTGTTTAAAAGAAAACAAAAAAAAAAACAGTTAGTGTCCGTTATAAAACCTTCACCTCAAGGTTGTCAGATACAGCTCAAGACCTTAGACCGCACTGCCTCCATTCATTAACTCCGCTCCAATTTATTTGTAATTTATTCTCCCATTATTCGCAATGCTTGATATCCAGTGTGGTGAGAGGGATTCTTTTGTGAATCCCTCTAGCCCTTGCTGCCATCTCCTCCTATAGAAGCTAGAGCCAAAGATCCATGTCCTCATTCCCTGAGCTGAACGCCCACCTACCATCTTTGTCAGCCTTCATGTGTGAAGGACTGAGCTGTGCCGTTTTGCAGCTAAACAAGACTAAAATAGCGCCAAAGGTATTGGAGTGTAGAAGGAAAAGCATTGCTCTTGTATTGAAGTGCACCATGAGTAATAACCCTTCCGATCTCTTGGGATGACGCACAATCTACCGTGCTATATTTTCTTCTGCCTCTCTCTCCGCTTGAATTACTATATTCAGAGCAGGGATCTAGGCAGGTATGGATATGTCCTATAATTGTGTGTCTATGTGTCAGTGAGTCAGATGAACTGATGTAGGAAGAGATAAGTCCAGTGTCCACTGAGGACAGCTATTGTCCTCTTGTCAGTGAGAGTGCTTCTGTTCCTCAGTTTGTTTAACCCTGAGGGTGTTGGCACAAATGTTGACTTGGCCAAACACTTCATGAAGACATACAAACACAAATACACAGATATGTATACATTTTTTCTTAAGAGCCATGGGACCACTATGGATATCCAGCTGTGTTTGTTTGTTCCTGGTGGATATTCAGGTCATGGTCCTTCTACTGCCTATTGATTTATTCATGGAAGTTATTCATGGAAGCCTTGAGTTTGTTTTAGCCTGAAGACCCATCTTATACTGCAAATTGAATTTAATTGCACATGCCTTTAGGTCTCACCCCAGGGTGCCTTGCAGCTTTCCAAACATAGACCTGCTATTATTCTACTTATGGATGGATGGATAGTTTTGCTTTTGTTGTTGCCAGTAACAGGGAATTTTAAACTAAATCACTTTCTGTCATAGTCACCATGTGTATGTGCACCACTGCTCGATGGAGAAACTTCTTTTTCTAGTTCCAACAGTACTGTTTTTATTCTAAGGCTCTTTTATCTGTATTTTTAATTTCCAATTTTCTTGTTATTTTCCCCCCCTTGTTGCTGTCTCCAGCTTAACACCCTGAGAGGCTCCATCCTGGAGGACGCAGTACCTTCCACATCCAAGCATGGCCTAGCTCGAGGCCTGCCTCTCAAAGAGGTGCTGGAGTACCTGGTGCCCGAGCTGAACGTTCACTGCCTGCGGCTAGCGCTCAACACACCTAAGGTCACCGAGCAGCTGATGAAGCTGGACGAGCAGGGGGTAAGGAGACATGATGAGCAAACTGAATTGTACTGGGAGAATTTGATTGATTCCAGTATCATTGAGACGTTATATTTTCCTCTTCATCACCCTAATGTTCAGCATAATGGGTAATTATTTGAACTTAATTTCCCAAGCCATTATCTTAAACTGTGAACAGCTAATTAATGTCATTTTGAGTTTAGGTTATTGGGATTTTTGCTCAGTCCCACACAGTCATAAACACACACACACACACCAGCTCTTTGATACTCCATGATGCCATCATCCAAAGCTGAACCTCTGTAAATGTCATGATTTCTCTGGAAAATTGCACCTCGATCTTTGTAGAGCAACTCAAGGTGGTTATTCCAACATGAGTTCTACCTAAAATGTCAATGTGGTTATTCCGACATGAATTCTACACAGTAAAACACATGTCTTCCCTTTTGATGGCAACAATCTTTGTTCTCTTTTACAGCTGAGTTTCCAGCGGAAGGTCGGAGTGATGTACTGCATGGCGGGTCAGAGCAGCGAGGAGGAAATGTACAACAACGAATCAGCCGGTCCTGCATTGGAGGAGTTCCTACATCTGCTGGGGGAGAGGGTTCGGCTCAAAGGCTTCACCAAGTACCGAGCTCAGCTGGACACAAAGAGTATGTACACACACAGAAATTACAACCAGCAGAGCAGATAGTGTTACACTGACTGTGAACCTTAATGCCTGATCCACAGCAGGAGGGCTGATGCAGATTGACACACACTAAACAGTTCCCATTGATTTAAAGAGTCTTGAGTTCAGTTGGCATTTATCGTTCGATGGATTGAGCAACAGCCCTGACATGATGTGTATGTTTAGTGCCTTGAAAATCCAATGTAATATTCATGTTAACTGAATCACTAATTGCTGGGGACTGACGTCTGTAAGAAACTACTTCTTAGTATCTGCATCTCTTTGTTTTCTACAAACAAGGCAGATTTTTTTTCCTCCCCCTATCTGCCTGTTCAAACCTGTGGTATTCTACTCCATACTATCCTTCTATCAGTCAAATTAATCCTCGCAATGCTTTGAGAGTCAAAAAAACGGCCAGTCACTTTTTGCAGGAGATAACACAACCTTCAGGAAACTCTAGAAAATTAAATACAACAATGCTAAGCACCTCCTATTGAAGGAGAGTAATTAATGGAGATAACGCAGCTAGGTTGAGAATGGCCTTTTAAACACCTTGTGACTGCTTTGTTCTCAGAGTGCATCAATGGACTGTGTAGGTGGTGATTAACATGCAGTGGCTTTCTGTTCAACCAGAGTGTCTTTAAGGGCAAATAAATCACATCTGATCAGCATTGGCCACAGTAGAACATGGAAAACATAACGATAGAGTAGAACGGTCATTTCAAAGAGAACGCTGTGGTGTCAGTGGACCTGTTACAAACGCATCTCTATGCCTAATAGCAATAGTTGTTCATGTAAAATGGTGTTTTCTGGATTTTATTTTAGTATTTTATTGGTCATGGTGAAGCTCTTTCTCATTGGTGATAATATTCTTAAAAAACATGAAAACAGTGTATTAACTGTAGATCAGTTCTATGTTTTACAATGAGGAATTCACTTGTGGTTGCATCTCCCCCAGCTGACTCGACCGGCACACACTCCTTGTACACCACTTACAGGGACTATGAGATCATGTTCCATGTGTCTACCATGCTGCCCTACACACCCAACAATAAGCAACAGGTATGTTCATCAAAGGTTAACAAACAAACTGAAATAGTTTTTATTTATAATAGTATATAAGATTTATTTATATTCATCTTGCAATGTACATTTAAATTTAACCTTCCATCAACTTGGACTCACTTAATTCATGAGTTTGAATATTATATATAATCTAACTTTAGTTTACTTCTGCTGTTCTTGATTTTTTTTTTCCAGTTACTGCGGAAGCGCCATATTGGGAATGATATCGTCACAATCGTGTTCCAAGAACCCGGGGCACTTCCGTTCACTCCTAAGAACATTCGCTCACATTTCCAGCATGTCTTCGTGATTGTGCGGGCACACAATCCCTGTTCTGAGAACAGCTCCTACAGGTGAGATTCAAAAACCCCACATATAGTTTGCTGTATGTGCATATAGTTTAGAGACTGCAGAATTATGGGTTGTTTGATGCATCAGCAATGCTCGGCCAGTGAGTCCCTAGCTCTCCACTTGTCTGCAAGCTTTTAGATTCCATTAGTTAGAAATATATCAGAAAGCTGAAAGTGTGTTTTCTGTCTTCACCAAAAAACGAGTTGGTTCCTCCAATGTTTCATTTCCTGATCAGGCTACTGTTATACGTACATTTTGAATAACCCTGTATAGAAACTTTTGTCATAGCTATTGTATGCACTTAACTTCTCATGACTCACTTTCCATCACTTCTGAAACAATAATGCTCTTATCTGTTGGCTCAAGTGTGTCACTGCTTTCGCAGTCGTGGCTGTTAGAGCCCTCTCTACAGCACATGATTTATGACCACCTCATCAGGGATGTGTAATATGTAATAAAATGTGCCATCCCGGAGTCACTTATAAGAAATGCCTTGCCTCCGTTTCCTGTTTAAAACTGCTCAGCTGTGAAGGACATTTCATTCTCCATTCATTCCTGCCTCTGTCTTGTTATCTAGTTTCCTGTCACTCTCTCGTATCTGGCGCCCTATGAGCCGTCCTCTATCTCCGACTAATGGCTGTTTTAATTGCTGTCTGAGCACATTGTTAGTTAGGTCTTAATCATCCCCCATGGGGCTTCTTCGTTACTGAGCAACAACACACGTGCATGAGTTCTGCAACAGAGTGACTGTGGAGAAAATACACTTAACTTCAGAGATTCACAAACGTGAGTCAAGGTTTCTCAAGTGAAAACACAATTCTCAACGCGAAAGATCGTTTTTCTAGAATTAAATTACAATTCACACTAACCACGTTGTCGGAGGGAATAAGAACACGTCCACTGAAAGAGCTTGATTTATTCCTTTTTTTTGTTTAATTAAAAGAGAAAAATGTTTTTCCCACTTTTTGGTCAGTAGGTCAAGAGATTCAAATGATTCGAGGCAGCCTGAATTCTTTCAGTCATGCATCTCGCCAAGTTCTTGATTAATCCAGCAACACACGCGAATAGGACCATTTTCTCACCAACTGTTTGTAGTGAACCAAACCACATGTTCTACATTCAGCACTGCTGGGAGAGTGTGTTTTTCTTTAAAGAGTAAGTTGGTACTGTGTCATTGGAAACCAACACTTTAACAGATTACACCAATGCTTTAGATCACCTTAGTCATAAAATCTGCTATGCACAGTACAACATAAATGGTTTATCCTTGGATGACTACTCGTGACAAGTAGACAAAAACATGTTATTTGTACCTTCCCCACGTCCACTTTTATACACACACACACACACACACACACCTGTTTCTCCCACTCCAATTGGTATTGATATGTTCTTTTTCTTGCCCTGGCGCAGTGGGCAGCAGGTTGTGGATACTGGAGGAGCAGAGCTGCCCACACAATGGATATTTATAAGGCCACAAATCACTGAAACCGCAGGAATGCACTCTTTCATTTTTACTGCCAAACCTCCTGCCATGAGGATCACACAGCAGCAGCCCCGACTGCACCACACTCTCCTATATTCCCCTTTCTCCGCCTCTGTCACCCTCTTTTCTCATTCGGTCCCTCTTTTTGTTTTATCGCTCTTTTTTTTTTTTTAAATGTTATGCTCTCTCTGATTTGCTCTCCGGCTTTCACTCGCTCCATCCATCACCTCTTTTTGTCCTGCGTGAGTCACAGGTCCTTGCTTGACTGATTCACAGGTGTTTGAGTTCAGTAAAAGCACTTGTAGAGCGAATCGTACTGTGTGATGTGTTTGTAGTCACAGAGAAGAATAAGAAGAAAAGGTCACATTTTATTTTAATCATTTGTTCGACCCACTTACAACCACTTTGCTGCTGCTGCTGCTGCTCTCTGCATGATTCATTTGTCTTTGACAGTGATGCGGTCGAATATTATCTTGTGACTCGTTTACCTGTGTCGGTGCTGTCAATCTATAATTTTCAGAGATTCATTAAATGCTAGTAAAAGTCTAATACAAGCTGCTCGGTGAAAGTTGGCTGACTTTCTGTGCTTATTCCATGTGGAAAATCCAAGCAATATTTTGATATACTAGCAACTACTTGGGGAATTCCCAGCATTCATTTATCAGCACAGTGCTATAAAAGTGATGTTTTCACTCTCCGAGGCAATTTCAGCCTGGAATAAAAAATGTTTTCTCTCTTACTTTCGTCTGTCACAAATAAGGAAAGGTGGGAAATGAGGTGTCAGAAAATTTGACGGTCGGTATAATTGAACACCACACGTCCCCCGCGAGGACGGTGCGTCTCCAAGGTATGTTTAGAAGTACGTGGGAGACATATTGACTTTAGTTGCTTATTAGACAAAGCGATTAATCCCGGTGTCGGCATGTGTTCTGATGCATGTCAGCGGGGAAGCGAGTGGGACGAGGGCTTCGACATCCAGTGCTACTCTTGTCAGCTGGTAATTATCACCTGAGTGAAGATCTGGGTGAGGTTAAGACAGGTGACCCATGTATAGACACCTTGCTTCAGGCCTTATAAATGGCCTTTTCACTGCACGCTCTATTTGTTAAGTGCCTCGAAAGTATTTGAAAGATTTACACACAAATCTGTTTATCTCACACAGTGCTGTGTTTTTTCCAGAGAGCAATCATTCCTCATCGTTCTCTCCCACAGTCACGTCTTCCCCTCTCAGCCACATTTTCCTCTTTTCTCACTCTGGGTTTTCTTGGGCTCCTCTCCCTCCTCCTCCTTCTCCTCTTCTTCTCTCTTCTCCTTCCTCTCCGTGGCTGCACAGCTGAGTTCCTGACATACCAGACAGGGCAAACAGACTCAGATGGGCATTCCAGGGACTTAATGAAAGGAGAAGTGAGGTGGGGAAGAGCGAAAAAACAGGGAGGTATAGGACGTGGAAAAGAAATGAATACGTACCATAAGGAAAAGGCAGCATGTACTCATTGCCTCCAGTCAACAGCATTAAGACACATAACACTTCAGGGTTTATAGAAAACATCGTCTATGTTCCACGATGTGTCTACAATTTTATTTTAATTTTTAAACTATATTTTTGAGTTGATTTACTGCTCTAAGGCATCATATCTTTGGTGTGTGAGGAGGAGAAACGCTCCTTGTTGGCAGATCTGGATCAATTATTCTCTTTTCTCCTCCATCTTTCCCTCTTCCCTCATTTTCTTCTTCTTGTCTTTCAGCGTGGCAGTCACTCGCTCCAAAGATGTGCCATCTTTCGGCCCACCAATCCCAGAGGGCGTGACCTTCCCCAAATCCTCTGTGTTCCGGGACTTCCTGCTGGCCAAGGTCATTAATGCAGAAAACGCCGCTCACAAGTCCCACAAGTTCCGTGCCATGGCCACCCGAACGCGCCAGGAGTACTTGCGTGACCTGGCTGAGCGCCACACCACAAGCACGCCCATCGACCCCTCGGGAAAGTTTCCTTTCATCTCATTGGCTCACAAGAAAAAGGAGAAGAGCCGGCCCTATGTAGGGGCGGAGCTGCGCAGCCTTGGGGCCGTGACCTGGCTGGTACACGCTGAGGATCATGGGACTGGAGGAGAACTTGAGGCTCTCCTCGCCATCTCCAATGACTTCCTCATCCTTTTGGACCAAGACGCCAAGGCTGTGGTGTTAAACTGTGCCACTAAGGACGTGATTGGCTGGATGCTGAGCAGCCCTGCGTCTTTGCGGATTTTCTATGAGCGGGGAGAAAGTGTGTCTCTGAGGAGTATCAGTAATAACACTGAGGATTTCAAAGAGGTGGTCAAACGTCTAGAGGTAAGAAGTCACACACACAATACATAACAGATGGTAGAGTCTAGAGTATGCATTAATTCTGTTGGTGTTGAGAAAACCTTCAAGAGAAATGAAATTATGTGATTTCGTCCTTGTTAGGTGGCACTACTCCTGCAGCAACATTGAACCAGACTTTTAATAAGACAAAAGAAATACTCATTCACAATGAGCAGGTGCAGAGAAACCAAATCAATGGACTTAGATGCTGTTGGCTGCCATTGATCATTTACCTGGCCCACTCACAGTCTCTCCTGCTATTCACTGTGGGCTGTCAGTCTGCCAGAACGACAACTGTGTGTGTGTGTGTGTGTGTGTGTGTGTGTGTGTGTGTGTGTGTGTGTGTGTGTGTGTGTGTGTGTGTGTGTGTGTGTGTGTGT